CCCCGCAGCGGGCCCCAGCGGAGGACCGCTGGGAGAGACGGGGCGTCTGGGTCTCGCTGAGGAGGGACGGCCGCGGGCAGACGCGCAGCTCGGCTGCGTTCGCGCCCGGGCCTGGAGGCGAGCCTGCGGGGCTGGAGGAACCGTCCGCCGAAGCGCCGGTGCCGGGCACCGGGGCAGGCGGGGGCCCTCCACGGCAGGCCACGTGTGCTTATCGGTCGGGTCGGAGACGCGGGCTGGGAGCCAGACTTCCGACGGGCACGTGGGACGGACCGTAATCCGCTCACGGTGCACCGAGGTCGGCTCGGCTGAAGCCGGACCCCGGGGAAACTTTAACGGAGCTCCAGCAGAACCGGGGAGCCGTCCACGGACTAATTACAGCCCAGGACGGACTCACCAGAGCGGCCGGAGCCCGCCAGCCGAGCGGCAGGGAGATCCGTGGAGGCAGAGAGCTCAGGGAGCCGTAGAACCAGAAGCGGGGAAAAACGCTCAAAAACGGCCGAAAACCCCGAAAATCACTGGTACGCTCGCATACGTGAGGCCTGCGAGGGCCCCTGGAGGGTCCACGGCCGAAAATCCGCTTCTTTTTGTGTCCGAGTGCTCTTCAAAAACTCTCTCCTGAAATCCTGCCGGCGGGGTTTTGTCTTTCTGTGAGCTGGAAGTGCTATTTTCCCCGATTGGGCGGGGCTTAAGCGGGTGTCAAGGGAGGGCAATGCTTTGTATGCCCGGAAACCCATTTTTCATTTATCCCGGCTCCTGTGAGCGTGCTAAAAATCATTCGACCGCACAGGGCTGTCCTCCGGAACACGGGCTGTCGGCCAGCGGTGCGTTTTTCCCGCATTTATTGGTTTTTGACCGTTTTTCCGGCCTTTTCCCGGCGCGACTTCCGCCGCTTCCCCCGCTCCGGGGAAACCGTTTAAAAATCGGAGACCCACGCCGAATTGTTGTCCTGGCCGCAGGCTTTCCGGTGATATACAACTTTCCTGGGGGGGGACTCCTTTTTACCCGTTTAATCGGAAGTTGAAGTTGACCGACCGGAAAAAAGGCGCTCTTTCGCGGCTTAAAAATCGGGAAACGGTATAAAAATCAGAGACCCGCGCCGAATTGTTGTCCAGGCCGCAGGCTTTCCGGTGATATATAGCTTTCCTGGGGGGGAACTCATTTTTACCCGTTTTATCGGAAGTTGAATTTGACCGTGCCGCCGATAGATGCTCATCCCAGCTATGGCTCCACATCCCCGGGTAACAGAGAACCGGGACTGCAGCCTCTCTGAGAACCAGGAATCGTTAAAGTGTTTTTAATTCTACCCGGGAAAGGGGACCAGAGCCCCGGGTAACAGAACGGGACAGCAGCCTCTCTGAGAACCAGGAATCGGTAAAGTGTTTTTAATTCTACCCGGGACAGGGGACCAGAGCCCCGGGTAACAGAACGGGGACAGCAGCCTCTCTGAGAACCAGGAATCGGTAAAGTGTTTTTAATTCTACCCGGGACAGGGGACCAGAGCCCCGGGTAACTGAACTGGGAGAGCAGCCTCTCTGAGAACCAGGCCTGGAGCTCACCGAGTGAGAACCAGGAATCGGTAAAGTGTTTTTAATTCTACCCGGGACAGGGGACCAGAGCCCCGGGTAACTGAACTGGAAGAGCAGCCTCTCTTAGGACCAGGCCTGGAGCTCACCCAGTGAGAACCAGGAATGGTAAAGTGTTTTTAATTCTACCCGGGACAGGGGACCAGAGCCCCGGGTAACTGAACTGGAAGAGCAGCCTCTCTTAGGACCAGGCCTGGAGCTCACCCAGTGAGAACCAGGAATCGGTAAAGTGTTTTTAATTCTACCCGGGACAGGGGACCGGAGCCCCGGGTAACAGAACCGGGACGGCAGCCTCTCTGAGAACCAGGCCTCCATCCGAACCACTTACCCCAGCAGTGGCTCCACATCCCCGGGTAACAGAGAACCGGGACGCAGCCTCTCATACAACCAGGCTGTGCGGAGCTACTCACCCAGCCGTGGCTCCACATCCCCGGGTAACAGAACCGGGACGGCAGCCTCTCTGAGAACCAGGGCCTGCTGCGGAGCTACTCACCCCAGCCGTGGCTCCACAATCCCGGGCAACAGAGAACCACCAACACAGCCTCTCATACAACCAGGCTCTCCATCACAACCACTTACCCCAGCCGTGCATCCACACCCCGGGTAACACAGAACCACCAATCCAGCCTCTCTTAGAACCAGGCCCTCCATCCGAACCTGCGGACCCACACTTAAGCCCCCTCCCACGGACTAAGCCGAGCAGCCATACGCCCAGTAGAGCCGTGCCCCTGGTAAGGCAAAAAAAAAAAATAAAAATAAAAAAAAAAAAACAGTTTAACAACGCACAACCCATTATGAGTCATGGTCCTAATTTTATACATGTTTCCAAGTCATTATAAGCCATCTAGTTTGAGATGAAAGCTCATTCTGATCATAATTTATAGGGTTTGTTAGATAGTGCAGTAAAAACAGAGAATATAGAAGTTAAAATATGAAGCACCACCAAACAATGCATTCTGGGAAATCCAGACAGACATTTTTAAGTAAATTTATGATGTTCAGAACGTCGTTAAAAACACATTTCTGGCACATAGCAGAAGCTCAGAGATGAGGTTTGAAGCTCAGCTGTGATTTCTGTCTCAAAAACAGAGTTTGAATAGAAATAAAATAAAATAAAACATGGTTAAGAGTAGATGCTTAAAACCAAAGTTCGTCTTCAGAGCAGCGAGTCCTTCATCCAACAAAGGCTCAGAGATGGCATTTTAAAAGTGGGATTTATTAACAAAACAAAGCTCAAAATAAATCAAATTGGGATCAAATCTGGTGAAGTTAAAGTAAAAGGCCACTGTGGTTTGGGCCACATCACAGTTTGATAGGACGTTCCCAGCTATACTGACAGGTAGAAAAATGAATAGGAGTCTTTGGAGTAGGCTCGGACCGCCAAACGTGGTAGGCATCTGCAGAGGGTTGGAGGAGCAGAGAAGCCAAGTTTTGTAAAAACAACTTATAATTTTGGAGTTGTTCATTCTTGAAATAAATGGAGGTCAATGGCAGCTATGTCAAGGGAATGAGCAACATATTCTCCTTACCAAGATTGTCTCTCTACCTCTTTTAGTTTAGTTTATTTGCTGAAATGTGAAAGTGGTTTTCGTCTTATGTCCCCAACCCTCCACTAGATGGCAGTATAGGACTGTCATTTTAAATGGGGCTCTCCAAACAAGCCAAGTTTCAACTCAGATCAAAATCTAATCAAATGAAACAGACCAACAAATATTTAGAATTAAAAAAACATTTATTTGATAATAAATTACAAATTTTATTATATTAGAACACTGTGCATGACATTCATAAAAAAAGATATCAGTGTCCAATCATGTTGAACAATATGCAAGGGAGTACAATAAGGATCTATTTTTCAATGCCTTATGATGTAATACCTGTGGAGAAAGAAATTACACTTGTAAATCAATGATCAAGAAAGAAATACCTGTTTATGAAAACTGCATTATTTTGAGGACATTTTTTAACATTATAATTGCAAAACAAAATAAAATTAGAAAAAAACTGTTTGTGTCATAAAGCGGGGCGAAGATGGTGATGATAAAGCTTAATGATGAAAAGAGGATAAAAATCCTGGCAGCACAGAGGAGAAAAAGCTATGAGCTCATTTCTGGTAGCAAGTGGTGAACAGTAATCGGCCGACAGCGACACGAGAAAACGAGAGAGTTTAGACTGAACAGAGAACTAGAAACACAGGTTGGGTATAAATACACAGGAGGAAATGAAGGGAACTGGAAAGAGTCGGGATCAATCAAGGATAGACAAGAAAACACAAAAACTCAACTGACAGAATCCAAAATAAACACAGAAAAAATCAAATCTTTACAGATTGATATAAAGTTTCAGACTGAAAACAAATTGTTTTAGCTCATTCCTTTTAAATGTATTATTTAAAGGGAAAGGTCTAAAAAGTTGAGGCTGCATAATTACTGAGTTTTTTAATCTATTTTTGTTTTTCCACATGAAATTAAATAGCATCTTGTGACAACTTTTTGTTTCCATTCAGAGATAAAGCAGCATAAGACATGAAGTCTTATGCTCTGCATGGTGAATACAATTTGAATCTTAAATCTCTGCTGCCACTAAAGTTCAGATAACATCTGGAATCTGTTTCTCATGATCATTCCTGAGTAACCAATAGATTATTTTACAGGTATGCTACAAGTAGCAGAAATGTAACAATATTTAAGAGCAACTGCTTCACATTTTTTAGATTAGGAAAAGTCCAGATGCAGCAGAGAAAGGGTTAATCTCGTCAATCAGATGTATCTCAGAAGAGTTTCTTTTAGAAATAATTATCAGGCTGATGATAATTTCTCATCCCACTACTGCAATACTTTTTAGTTTGCTGAGATTAATTAATAATCTGTAAGTAACTGAGTGCAGATGAGGCGATATGAGACGTCGCTGCCCGACTCCTCCTTTGAGAATAAAACCAAGTGAAGGACCAGCATTGCATCTAATTTCCATTAGTGACATTGTTCTGATAGCACTGCTAGAGTAAGAACCAAAACCAGGTGTGAAATATGACATTATGTTCAGTGTTGTCAAAAGCTTTACAAAAGTCCAGAAAAAGGATAAAAAGATTTATGCTCTGATAACAGCATAAATCATTGTTCAGTCTGATTGTGAGCATTTAACTTCTGTTGTCTTGTGTAGTAGGCCCCCCACCGAGGCGAGACATTGAATCCTTTATTTGCAGAAATTTAAAGTGTCATTATTTAACATGGACTTCATCATAATCAAATGGAGAACACATTAACATTTTAATATGGCTTAGAGATCAAGTGTGAAAATATTGAGCTCCTCTGCATTTTCCTAGTCGTCTGGTTGTCGAGTGTTCCACCTCAGCCCAATAGGGGGCGATAACATACCTTGACGTTTTCGCTTTTCATCCAGAGAAGAAGAAAGGAGGCGGAAGAAGACGGCAGTGGAACCAGGAAGAAGGGGCTTATTTTAACCTGAACAGGCTCAGAACCGCCAAAGAACCGTCAGAGCGTTACTTTCTGTAATTGTCAGGCATCGTGTTCGTGTCGAGATGGAAGGTGGGTTTTGTTCTGAGAGATTAAGACTCTGTGTTGATGGGATTGGTCTGTTTTTAAGCTGATCACCGGCAGCTACTGCTAGCCTGGGCGCGGATGCGGTTTGTTGTTGTTTTCTTCATGTTGAGCTTCGACTTGAAGTGAATCTGATCATTAGATCAGATTCCAGCTGGATTCACATTACTGGCTAATAACTAAGCAGAAACTTCCTGAACTTTTCACCTGTACAAACTAAAACTTCCAGAAACAAATTTTTTTGTCATTAAAATTTGATCATTTTAAAACGTCTTGGCAAAAATATTGCATCATAATCTATGTTCATGTAGCTGAGGCTGCTCTTAATTTGTAGGACGGTTTAAAGGCACTGTTCAGGTTTGTCATTGCTCTCAACCTGGAGTGTCGGTCAGAACACTACTTCTATTGGATTCAGTTCAGGACCAGATGTGGGGCAGCAGGTGGAAGAAGGAATACATGAGGCAGGATCCCTTTTACTTTCTGTATTCAAGTTGGGTCACAGATCTTAGTCCAACAACAGTAATTGGCATCAAGGTATATTTGGTGGGTGTGGGTGAGTGCTTCAGGTATGTGTGTAGGTGTGTGTGTGGTCTCCTAGAATAAACAGAAATACAGAAATAAGTTTCAGGTGTTCTATCATTACACATTACTATTACACCTTAGATAAACTAAGAAGGAAATAAATAAAGCCTAAACAAGCTTAACATCAGAATTACTATTCATAAGTGAACTAAAACAAATGAATTAATATCAATGCCTGTGCGCCTGTCAAGTACATCGCTCAGCGCTCTACAACACACATATAGTCGATAGCTCGGACCTAACGGTAAATAACGGTTAACAAATAAACTCCGAATCATTCATTTAACTTCAGCAAACAATCAAATATAATAACTTACTTGTCACTAACGCACACTTATAAGGCGATCACACATATTCTGCCCCTCTCACGTATTAGCAGTGGCTCTGTTACCCCACCTCCCCCTCTGATATCAGGAACGGTTCTCTTTCTTACGGCGATGTGATGACGTCATCGCCGCCCCAACTACGGTATGCCCTAAGTGGCAAAAGTAACGCTGAACAGAAATCACTACGAACAGTAGTAGTTAACAAACTTAGCTTATTTAAGGGGTCTTTTGAACAGTTCATTTATTATTATTGACCTTAGAAACCAGACATTTTTAATAAAGTGCCTTAAGAGGATTTTGGCCATGAACCTGTCCAATTTAAAGGCGACATTAATATATGACTTTGTTAGCTTTATGAATTATGCTGGCAGGCCATCATAACATCACATTGTTTATTTGTCTTTTCAGGTCATTTGTTTTTAAGTTCTGTTTTATGAAATACGCTATATAATTGTGATAAAATGTTATTATCATGCATCAATAAAATGAAGAAAAAAAATTATTCAATTCTGTACCATTAGTCAGTATAATTACTTTATTGTTATTTAGATGTAGATGTTAATGAAAACCTGAAATAAAACTCCAGTTTGTTTTTTTAAATAAGACTAAGAGGACTTAAATCTGGTGTTCATGGAAGAAGTCCAGGGTCAGTCGTTGTTGCACTGCGTTGGTGCAGTTTCATCTGCGCAGATGTGATTTAAAGTCAGATGATGAATTCCAGCAGGTTTGTTCAGTAATTGGTTGGAAGAGCAATTTTCTGAAATACTGAGATGCTGTTTGATGAATGCTTTATAACAATGAAATTTAATATTTTTAGTATTTGCAGTGAATCTGTTTATGAATTGATATTTGTAATGTTTTCAATTAACAAAAGCATTATTCGAACTGTATCTATGGTCTCAAAAGCAATATTGTGAAGTTTGCTCTCATTCTTTTAATGCTCTCGACTCTCTTTCTCCAGAAACACTCTTTCAGCTGAGGGTAAGTCCCGAGATCATATTTGATCTGTATTGTCTATACAAGCTAAAAGTTTATACAATTGACACTTTTTCCTTTTTTCTCACAGTTTACATCGAAGCAGCTTGAGAGACTGGCAAAGAAGGCAGAAAAGGAATCAGAAAAGGAGCAGGCCAAAGTCAAGAAGGTGAGGATTAGAAGCCGGTTTGATGCTCATTGTAGTTCAGGACGATCCAGATTTTATTCTGCTTACTTATTCTCTTTCTGCATTTGTATTGTCACATCTCTATGTTGGATGAAACATGCTGGAAAGGCTTGAGATGATGGATCAACAAATAACAAACAGACGAGAACAAAATGACTTGATCCAATTTTGGGTTGGAATATTTCTAATCGGCAGAATTTGGAGTTCAGTGAACAATTAGATTTTAAAGTGCCGTACAGAAAGTCCAACTTGTTTGTCGTATTTAACGCATTGAAATGCAAAGATTGGGTGAGGCGAAGATCA